AGAGACAAATCAACTTGAATAGCTTTCAACTCAGCTAATATAGGAGGGCCAGGGCCAGAAGCAACCGAGAATGATCCCAGCAGCCTGCTCTCGTCATCCCGAAGAAGACCACCTATTTCACTACACTTCTAATCGCGACTTACAGCCCTGTCTGCATTAACTTTAAAGAATCCGGAAGGTGGAGGACTCCACGCGGACAGGGAAAACAACTTCTTCCTTAAAACTTTACAAGAATCAGCCAGAGTTGGATCCCCCACAAGACAATCAAGATGGACGGGGAAATTAGGCACCTTTGCCGAAAACCAAGCAGCCACCCTATATCTAACTAAAAAACACAGCTGATCCATCCATTCAGACATCGTAAAACAAAGAAGACAAGAAAAATGCAAGTCGGCCCACATACAGCATAGCAGTTTACAGTGCACATATCTGAGCTGATCCTATGCAAGATTCTTTGGAAAAAAAGAACCATAGCAAATAAAGGACTCACTGAACTATGAACTGCATGAGCAGATTGGAAACACCAAACTGCACATTGTACCATCTGTTTATTGTCCCTGTGAAGATGACACAAATAATGGTATAATGCACTATTTCAATATATACTCAACTATCATCTAAACAATGAGGTAGAATCCAAATAATTGATAACCTCCATATTTGTGGATCATTTTTATATGTTAAAAGTACAACAGCTATTTTTCAAATTCAAAAAAAAAATCTTCCCCCTCTAGTGAAAAATAATGCCAACCAAATTGTTAAAAATCCCTATAAATCTCAAATTCCTTAAGCCAAAAACCAAAATTCTCAGCAAAAATCCCTCTGCCTAAGCTGAACCCTGACTTTTTATCATGCATTGGAGTGAACACATAGTGGTGAATGAATCACTTAAAGTTCAGTGTTCCTTATCCAGCAGTTTGTGGCTAATAGATGTAAGTAATATAGGTTTTGATATTTTCGGATAAAATTATATCAAAGCAGAAATAAGGGCAAAATCCATGTGCACACATGAAACATGTCTGCAGACGCCCCCTGCATCAGCTATCTGATATAAATGAACATGCAGTCAGGCAAGATACAATTATTCTCATTTACAATTTGAGTCGATACCAGTACCCCAAATAAAACAAAGTACTAAACAGTTGAGGCTTGATTCTGTAACTTCTCCATGTCATATTTGACCTGATTGACGACACTTCTCTGGAAAGAGAAAAAATGTCAAATCGAAAATAAAGAGATTTTAAAAGGATCAGAATAGTAATTGGAAGAAGAAAACAAGATTAAGTGCATTTCAGGATTTCATAAAAAGGTTGCAATGAAAACCAGTGAAGATTGACTAACAAGCAGAAGGCTTGTGAAGACACATTCATTGTCCATATTATTTCAAGATATTTAATCTCTTTATAAACATGCAGAAACATTTTAAACATTACAATTGGTTTTCCTCTCCCTCCAAAAATGCTCAATTATGACAACCTATTATCCACAAAAAGTTAAAACCAAAAAAGCAAGGAAAAGGAGATTAAGTTATCAGTACATAACCCATTCATTTGAGGAAAGGGATCCTAAAATAGCCTTCTAGGACAAAATAATATATTTGATATCATGTTGGTCATATAATATAATCATGGTCACAATGATATGTTTTATTCAATATCCTTTACAAAAGGTAAAAGGGGATTGACCGAACTAACTCATTGTTTTTACATTCTAGTAATTGATGGAACTACAAATAGAGTAGGCAGTACAAGTACTTTTGTAGGACAAAGTATAAAATATGTAGGGGAAGTGGCATCTCTTTATCTATTATTGTATTTATTTTATGAAATATTTTTTAGTAATTTATTATATATTTCTTTGATTATATAAAATTTATATTTATACATAAATTACAACACTGAAAATAGAATATTTCTGTTTATAATTATGTAAATGGTAACAGTTAAGTAGATTCAGATAACCTAATCATATGGCATTTGACCACTGTCATTGACCATGACATGCTAGTGATGCTGCAATTATTATATTTGGAAACAAACCTGCTGATTATAACTATCTTTCAATGATGAATTTTCAGCAGCTAAAGATTCAGCTAATGTACGTGAGGCCTCAAGAGATCGTTGCAGAGAAAACTTTTCCTGGGTCAAATCTTCAATAAGCTACAAAATAAGAGTAAATAGTTAATAAATTCCAAACAAGATATCTGGGAAGAAGTCAATAAATAAAACCAATGTGATGAACCACAAAGAAAAACTATAATATAGTTTTCTACATTATAATGTATGTGTGCTTGTGTGTGTATTAGAAACTTCAAAACATTGGAGGAAGTTTTCTCTTGATGGCTAGATATCTTTTAACAGTCATTACAGTTTGTTCATCTCCAAGATATTAACATGTATTAGGCTTCAAAACTTAAACATTGAATTATAACTAAACTCCACAATAATTTATTCTTCCTTGCCTCTTGATAAACAAACTTACCAATCCCCAACCTAACAACATCTGACTCCGGCATGTGCACCTCACAGAAACACAAGGCAGTGACCAATAAGTATGCAGTTATACTTGTCCTTTACGTCATCATAAGGGAATGATAAATTGAAAAAGGAACCAGCCTTATTCTCAACTAAGCTCTAAGCTTCCTACTAAGATTTGTCCCCTCCGAGAGCAGCATTCTATAATAAAGCTTATCATCCTTGTAAACTAGAGTCCTTTTTTCCTTTTATATTCAAGAGATCACAAACCTTTCTTCTCCAGAATAATTAATGCCGAAAAATTAACATCTATATAAATCCCAGGATATTATGGGAAACAATAGTTTTGATCATTGTAAAGGTTTCAGTAAAAGCCATATGCTAGTATAAGTTTCATATACATAATGGAATGTCAAATTGAGTCGGAAGAGATAAAAGCTAGCAAGCCTATGATTACATATTTCTACGACATCAAAAAGTTCACTTCAAGAAATGTTTATTCATGTTCTTAGGGAACCTAATCTTGCAGGCAATAGAGTTAACAAGCTGGAAGAATAAATGAGAATCACTAAAAAACTGATAACTGTGGCATCTATAGTAAGCTTAAAATGAAAAGAAAATAACGTCAACCTGCTCCAAAGCAGAGAAATCCTCGTTCTGTTTGGTTGAGTAGAACTCTTGCTTCTTCTCTGAGATATTCTCATTCAGCCTTAGTAGGTCACCATCATTATTAGCAGGAATTGAAAAATGACCAGGATACTCAGTGGCACTAGGAAAACCAGTGGACCTTTCTATGGAGAAAGTTCTCATATTTTCAGTCTCCATTGATGGTTTATCAAAAGGCGATGATCCTACTGCACTGGTGCTGTTAAATTGGGAACCATGGGAGGAAAATGCATCCTTTGTAAGTTGATTATGTTGAGAAAGAGAACCAGAAGAACCTTTGGATACATTAAGAGAATCAAGAAAAGATGGACAGTATTTCGTATAACTAGTATCATTTGTGACCGACTGCAGTGGTATGTGACTTTTGGAGCTTATGGTATCAAAACTGAACTCTAAAGATCCAGATGTCCATGCTGAACTGCTAAATTTTCTCTCTCCAAGATCAGAAATCATAGGTTCCCTATATTCTGCATTGCCCTGTAAGTTCTGCCCAGCTTCAAGGGCATATCCTCTTGCGTCCAAGGTAGATTGAGTAGATTCTATAATTAAACCGCATACATCAGATACTTAGCAAAAGAAAACCATGAAAACATAGATAAATAAAAATTCTGGTCATTTTAGTTCATAAACAAACATAAGGACAATGAGAATTCATAAATTCAAAATTACGTTCATAGAAAGAAGACAGTGCGAGGCTATTACCTAGCAAGCTGAGTTCACTGGCCTTACATGCTATTACCTAGCATGGAATGGAGTCTGACAGATTGAATTTGTTTGAATCTGGGTAACATTTCTGGTACACTGTAGCAATAACTTGTTATTTTGAATCTGCTTTTGAGCATTGCTCACATCTGGTTGGAGAATGATAGAATAGATGGAGAAGGTCTACTTTATGCTTGAGTTATTGTTAAATAGAGTCAAATTAAGTATGCTAATAAAACTTTTAGGACCTTCAAGCACATTAATCATTTGTGCATGAGAAGATTAACCTAAGGAAACCAAAAATAAAAAATCCTCTTTTGTTTAGTGTTGTATAGCCTTTGTTAAAGATTAGAATGGTTATTCTCAAGCAACGCAAAAGGAGAGTGCATCTTTAAAAACTAGGAAGACATGGTTAGTGGATTTACGGTCTCCAACCTACAAACAGGAATGACTGTTCTGGCTTGGTGACTCTAAAGCCAACTTTTGCATCAATAAGCTGTCAAATAAACTTGTTTTTATCAAATTCAACCAGGATTTATGTACTGTGTTTTAAAAATTTTTTCTCTCCCTATTCACAAAGTTTACCCTTTTAGTTTTCTGCGTAAATTGAGAGTATATCGACTAAAGCTAAAGAGAAGCCTAAAGTAGGAGGCTACCTGCATTGCATATAGAGGAAGGTACAAGCTAGCTCAAATGGATTATGATGCCTTGAGGATGAGATGGGTAAGAGATTAGAACTTAAGGATGATATATAGGTCCTCATGCCTTTGGATTTACCCTTACAATCTTTAACAGTGTGCTAGCTGGTATTTTTCTTTTCATTTGTTAGTTGATAAAAATTATATGCTAAGAGTTTGCACCGACTTGAAATGCCATCCTCACATCAATTTAGCTTCTGGGCTCACAACTTATCAAAAGCAGTGTATCATATGAATTGCTGACCGGGCTTTTAATTTTTTATTTATTAAAATGTAGTTTTCTTGCCTTATTAACTTTCAGCATTTGGGTTTTACCATAATGGTTTTTATCCATTATTTGATAAGATTTACATAGCATCGCTTTGCTGAGAAGCCTGTGCCGGTATTTTACAGTATTTTTACCGGATGTTGTGACTTCACGATTTCTCCAAGTATGATCTGTATCCTATTTTTCCAATTATTTAAATTTACTTTTTCTGCTGAGGCATGATTGTTGCAGTGGTGAAGCAACGTGATATCTTAATTTTTTTGTTTAACCTATTGGGAATGTGGCAGTTTTGATCGAAGGAAATGTCGTAGAACTAATTTACCAGAACTTTCTTTGACTTCTTGGTGTGAAGAATTGAGGCATGGGAAGGCACACATTCCTCGTGCATCCCAAGTCCGGGGACTATCTAAGCTGGCGGCTTATTCGATATCTTTCATGGATGGTAAACGTGTGAGTTACTGATATTCTCAAGTAGCATTGAACATTACAGATGCTTTCACACAAAGAAAAGCATGGATAGACATTTACTTAATTTCTGAACCATTGTGCTTCAGGCTCTATGGCCATTGATTTTTATTTTATTATTCTTTTTACCGGTCCCTAATCAATCTCATTGTGTTTTATTATCCTTATATCAGGCTCGTATCATGAAGGATGATCATATCTGGGAGTTTCATTTTAACAAGGTTTGTGGAACTTGTATTTCAACAAGTCAGAAACTTGGACGCTCCAGAAATGCATTGCTGGTAGATAGTTTGAATACTTGAAGTTATGAAAAGAATTTTCTCTCACTTGGTCTGTCGTTATAATGCTACTGCTTTCAATTCTCGACATATTTAGTTGCAAGGACTAATTGAAAGACCTCTACTGATTTCATGCCATCACCAAGGGACCGTATCTCAGTTGACAGAATTCCTTCTAAATTTGTGGATCTCATTACGTATATTTCCATCTTATAGTCTTGCATGAGAACCAGACAGTCCTTTCACTTCGCATAATCAACTCTTGCCAAAATTCATTTTGCTATCAGGCTGGTCCAGAGTTTTGGCGGAATCTTGATCCATATTGGAAGGGGACTGGTCCTCTGATGCGCCGCTACTTCCACCCAGATGGAAGCCAAACAGCAGGTGCTGATGGCAAGGCGTGGGGTGGACAAGAATGTTGTTATTCTATTGTAACTAGCATCGTAGGTGACGGAAAGATCAGGGAGCATTATGTTAGGATAAACAGATGGCCCAACTCTTCATTTCAAGAAATCAGGACTGGATAACTCTTCATTTCAAGAAATCAGGACTGGATCTGGGAAATGTCTAACTGCCTCCACTGCTACACCAGCATTCCCGACGTAAATAAGCAAGGGGGAACAGGGCCCCCTTATTCTTACCTTCTGTACATATCACCCCTGATGCATTTGGTAAGTAATTTGGAGTGCATCATATCCATGTCTTTGTTTTGCTAGAGTGCTCGTTGTTTCAAGGTATTTGCTTCTTTCCTTGGATGGTAAACGTTACCATCCTGTAAAAAATAAATCACTACAGTTCTATAAAAGCTACTTGCAAGGATATTACGATTTGTTTGTTGGATTCCAATCCTTGAATGATTTTCAAGCTAAATGGTATTTGGTTGTTAGATTCCAATCCTTGAATGATTTTCAAGCTAAATGGTACATGGATTTTGGCGAGCTTTGGTGGAAGATGGTCATACTGGAGGATAGTTCCCCGGTTTAAGCATTTAACAAGCAAAAACTAAGTACACAATTTTTATCCCAATAATTTGGAACATACTCAACCAAATTTAGAATACCAAAATATGCTTAAAAAAAGCAGCTCAAATATAATCCATGAAAATTATTTATTCTGCAAGGTAAACAAACATCAAGAGAAGCTTAGCCGTGTCTTGCCAGCAATGGCAATAGCAATAGCAAGTGTTAGGGTTCCATGAAAATTATTTTCCTAACATTTTCAGGATAAGACGTAGAAGGTAAAGGAATAAATGACAATATCGGGCGGTATCAGTAATACTCTCCGTTCAGAAATAGGTTTCTGAATTTCCAATTGTTTTATTTCGCTTAATGCGAACAAGAACAAGCATCCTTCAATCAACAGAAAACAAGCCCAACGTGGACAACGAGTAGATAAAAAGGGTATCACCAAACTTCAGGACGGAGCTCACCAGTTGCAGGGGGCATCCATCTCCCTGAATTGTATACATTTTCGCCTACTTTCCAACCAGGAACATCCTTCATCACTTCAGCTTCATACTCAAGATACTTCTTCCACTCTTTGACAAATCTAAAGAATGCGAACAAACAAACATGGAACTGTCAATGCATTTTAGCTACGTAAAAGAATTGGAGCAGTCTGGAATGGGTAGTTAGATACCTTTCGTCTTCTTCAGCTTGAAGCACAGGTAATATTGCTCTACGTGCAGCATACTTTTCTTCCTTCAGTGCCCTACAAAATGTAAATATTTCAGGCCTCCGTTCTAAAATAAAAAAGATCAATTTGCATATAGCATATGTATCCAATTTTGATTTCCATGGTAAAAACTAATTCATGGATAAGGAAATGGATATAGAACAGCAGCACAGTAAAGGATATACAAAATTAAAAAAGAAAACAATAAACACAACTGTCAATCTGTTTATTTATATTCGAAACATGCAGTTTGCAACTGTCAATTTCTTTAGGGGAGCATCAGAGAAGTCTGCCCTACTCCAATCAGCCAAAAGTTGGATAAAAAATAGAATTTGCCTCCTCCTGGTCAAAAGCTCACCACTGAAAATAGCAGATAGAGTTTGCTTGGTAGGTGCAAAAGATGACATCCAACCGGCCTAGGTTCACAGAAAAATTAATGCGGCCTGAAGTATCAACTTTTATCTGTACTTTCATTTAGTTCATGCTATGATAGACATAGTTACACTATTTATCTTAAATAAATCAAGACATGGGAATCCAATGCATATAGCATATCCTCAAAACAGAAAGATTTGAGCTTATTCATTTTATGTTAATTTATTTTTTGGCAAACTATTTTGGTTGTCTCTTTATCAAAAAGATCAACTAAATAATTGATGCGGAGAGAATCTCAAACTTCTCAATAGAACAAAGATAAAACAATGACCGGTTGGTTAGCTAAATGGAATGCATACACTATCTTGCCTAAAAGTGCATCTTCTGGATAAGATATTGCACCTAATTGCATTAAGTTTCACTTTTCCGAACTTTGGACATATAAGGGAAAGGTTGGATAGTTTGAACAATCATTTGTGCAGACAAACTCTTTATCATGAGACCAACAATTAGAAGATCAAAAAATCATCAACCCATAAAAGATCGTGTTCAAATATAATCTCATCTATATTAAAAGCACATGCATGCTTCAACAAATCTCTAAATCCCTAAACCCCACTTGACTAGCTAACTAGTTTACTGCCCCATGAAATGGCTAATAAATTAAGTGCAGAGACTCTTCCAATTTTCATGCATTGTCCATACGTCACAAGACCAAATAATAGCACCATCATAAATTTGTTGTATCTGAAAGTTATGTTTCCTTTTCTCCCTCCTACCAGATTCTTCATAGGTTACACGCTAAAAGCCATTTGAAAGGGCTGGAGATTGCTTTGCATTGTGAAACGGTAATAAATTACGAAAATAAGTAAATAGGCAGGTTCTTGAAATTACTAAACTAGAACATAGACAGGCTCGTGAAATTATCATCTATGGTCCACATGTCAAGAACAAATAATAGCATTGTGAACAAATATTGTATGTCTGAATTTTTCCTTGCCTTCTCCCCTTATGTCAGCTTCTTCATCGGTTACATAATAAAATTCATTTGAAAGAACCGTGAGCCCTGAACTGATTGTTTAGCCTTGTGAATTGCTAATGAATTACTACAATAGATAAATATGCTGGTTCTTGAATTACAAAACAAGAACATACGAAGGCTCATGAAATTCTCATGCATAGCCCATAATTCAGGAGCAAATATAATAGCATTCTCCGGAAAATCTCGTATCTGAACTTTTTTTTTTATAAAAGCTCGTATCTGAATTTTGCCTATCGTTTTCCCCTTCTACCAGCTTCTTAATATGTTGCATGCTAAAAGCCATTTGAAAGAACCAGGAATCGTGAACTAATTTTTTTGCCTTGTGAAAAAACAAGAGATTGCTTAGGCAGACTGCAGAAATTCCTAAACTCAGATATAGGCAGGCTCATGAAATCATCATGCAGTTTCAATGACAAGACCAAATAATAGATTTGTCAGCAAATCACTGAATCTCACCTTTTTCTTTCCTTTTCCTCTCCTACCAACCAATTCAGAGGCTATATGCTAAAAGGCATTAGAAAGGACCAGCAAATATGAACAAAATATGATATACTAATCAGTAGAGTCCTTCACATTTCCGAGTCTAATTTGAATTAAAAAAAACTAGCCAAAAAACAACAACATATTAAAGTTAAACAACAGAACAAGATCTAACTCCAAGCTAAAAACGAGATAAAAGCAAAAGAATGCTACAATACGAGATCATAGCAACGATTCCAAGCAATCCGATAAAAAACAGATTATATATACAAAAATTCTATCAGTGAAGATTAAAAAACCTAGATTAGAAAATCAAGGAAAACAGGAAAAGAGAAATTTAAGGTGTTTGTTTCTATACAGAAGAGAAACAAGGACCTGCGGATCTTGTTCCCTTGGCCGACCTGGTACATCCCATAAGAGAAGGCACCGAAAGCAGCTAGAAAGATAGCCATAGCACTGGGGCCCTTGTTGGGTATACGCCGGGCGTATCTGACGGGGGCGAACCCACCCGGGGGAGGCCCGTCTTGGAGGATCGGCATGTCCTTCACGCTCGCCATTCCTGGCTTCTTCCTTATCACAGCCTCCGTCATTTTTTCTTCTTCTTCTTAGTTCTAAAATATAGAGAGAGAGTTCAGCAAAGTGAAGAGTCTACGGTGGAGGTGGCGATATAGAGGAGGAGGTTCTTAAATTAGCTTGGGTCCGTTTTGGGCTGCACCACCTGGTGGGCTTATATTTTGTCACCTACCTGTAAGGCTCTATCTTAAGAATATAATTTTTTTGTTTAATAAAAATAATAAATAATGAAAACTTTTAATTATAAATTATCAAATATAATTAAAATATTAATTATCAAGCATATTTTATTTTTTATTTTTTTTCAAAATTACTATATATATATCAATATATCAAATATTTTCGAATATGGAAACTGTAACTACCGATGAAAACATTTTTTTTCTGCAAATTCAGCATCTGAAACAAATACATTACAGTAAAATAGAGGGGAAACTATTGCAGATATCATTTTAATTTATTCATGGATTCCACTATTAAATTTTTAATTTTATTAATTATAACATCGAACTTTAATTTTAATTTTATTATTTTCTTTTATTATTTCGTAATAAAATGATGATATGACTAACTATTATTGACGTGACTTGTCACACCAATTTTTAATTTTCATTAACATGGATGATTATTATATAGTTTTGGTCTATTTTAGTAATTAAATTTTTATTTTTTTTTAAATTATACCTAACATTTAGTTTTTATTTCATTTTAGTACCAATGTCATTAAAAATTTAACGGACAGACTGAGGAGACATAGCTCCAGTGGACAAACAACCAATCCGAACGGTGGACCACGAGAGAATGACGAGTCAACCAATATAGTCCAGTTTCAGGCCCGTCGGACAACTGATAGGCCATAGCTCCAATGGAGGAACAACCAATTCGAACGATAGACTAAGATAGAATGACGAGTCGACCAGTATAGTTCAATTTCAGGCCTATCGGACGAGCTAATGAGGCATAACTCCAGTGGACGGACAACCAATCTGAACGATAAACTACGAGAGAATGACAAGTCGATCAATATAGTTCAGTTTTAGGCCCATCAGACGATTGACAACGAAGATCAAAGGATGAAGAAATCGAAGAGCCCGTTGTCGATTTAGGGAGATTAAGGCATTTTCCGTTGAAACGGTGGTCAGAATCACATTTAGGAGGTCAAAAAGGTGCAAGCTAAAACGTTTAGGTTTCATCGATCGATGAATGCGACGATAAAAGAATTGAAAAGATATTGAATCCATTAAGTATTTAACGACGGATACTAAAATAAATCAAAAATTAAACGTTAAATATGACTTTGAAAAAATTAAAAATTTAAATACTGAAATGAATCAAAATTAACAATTTAGATATTAAACACGTAATTTAGCCTGTAATTTTAATATTGAATAATACAATAAAAGATACAGTTCAGGTAGCACAATTTTAAGAAGCGGAACCGTTGTAGTGGATTGGTGTGACAAGTTTAAAGTTCCGGTGAAGGCAAGGTCGAAGCAGGTTCGTAAATGTCGGGACATGAGGAGCCAAGAGAACAGGTGGTGGGTAAAGGATAACGTTAGAGGGGGTCGTGTAGGAAGGAAATGCCAGCATTGCTTGGCGGAGAAGACACTTTGCAATGCTAATATATGATAATATTCTTCGTTCAGACACACAGAAACGAAAGAAATTTGCAAAAAAAAAATGTCAAGAACTATCAACGACGGGGAATGCAGTGCGATTTGTTCATATGCAACACGGCGGTCAGGGTAACATGAAAAGCAACCTGTATTCCTCTGCTTCTTTACACATCTCTTCCATACTTCTGTCCTTCCTTTCTTTATCTAAGTCGAGCTTTCCCTTCAGTTCCTTCCCCTTTGCATCTATCTACACCGCGAACAGCAGACGGTTAAAACGAGTTTATCCAACTTTTTAGCAAATAAACGCTAAGCTAATCACAGTATCTATCTTACTGCATCGTAGATCTCATCGTTATTCTCGAAGTCACCATCTTTCCTTGGAAGGATTTGAACGTGAACATGAGCAACGGTCTGCCCTGCCTGCCTTTGGTCCATCCTAGAGTACAAATCAACAATTTGCTAGTCTTTAGACTTTAAGTTTAAGTGATCCTTTAAAAGTAAAATGTATATATAGATTTACCAAGCAGCATAAGCATATTAACACATGGTGATAACAGCAGGAACTTCCGTGAGTATCACACCATAAGACTCCGTATTCAATTTTCTATAAGAAAGCATAGTTTTCAATCACAAATGGCCAATCACACACACTAATTGTTGGTTATTGCATGGGAAACCAAAAAAATTAGAACTCGAAATGAGCGATTGTGGCTATAGGAGTCGACACGAGGTACTCAGATACCAAGTAAGGGTCATCCCAAATTGAAGAGGTCTAACTTGGCCAAGAGAATTATGAATAGGATGAAGATTTTACAAATTTAGAGACTATTAAAACCAAACTACAATATAAAATTATTCTAGTAAACAGTGGCGGATCTAGAATTTAAAAAATATGGGTCCAAAATTTTAATGCTCATATTCTAAAAAATTTGGGTATGCAATTTTTTTTTTATTTTTTTCGATTTTCATTAACAAATTAAACTAAATTTAACACTTTTATCAAAATAATGGGTGTGCAGTGGCTCCCCTAGGGAGCCACATACATCCGCCCCTGCTAGTAAAGGCATCTCAGCTAAAGGGACTATATGCAAGCTTCGGAAACAAAAACAAGAAGTGAGCAAAAAAGAACAACACACTAGCATGACTATGAACAAAGATGTCCACATCTCCATCACCTCTGCAACAGCCAGACAAAGAGAGCAAATAAAATTTAATATTGGCAAACATATGATATGTAAGCAAACCAATGTCGTCTCCTATGACAACACTAGCGCAGAAGCCCTATATGCAAGTAATCAAAAGTAATATATCAAGACTCCAAATCTTATCTCCTTACTTGGATGGTAAAAGTGAGTGATGACGCCTTATGGAAACGTTCAAGTCCTTCACCAATCCTCTGTGCTGTTAGCCATAAATCTTGCGTCTCTTCAACAGTGAGATCAACAAACCGCTTAACTTCACGCCTGGGGCAGACAAGCACATGTGCACAATGTCAAGGAAACCAGATTCAAGCATGAATGTTTTGAACAATGAAGATTCATGGTTTCCTAACATATTTTATGAAAAACCATTGCAGCTCACGTGAAAAAAAATGCATCATATATTTCGGTACCATTTTAGCATGCAATGCTTTTCTTTACTCTTTTCGATAGAATAATGCAATGCTTTGGATATATGGTTAGAATGATATTGTCGACCAATTTCTTCCACATCTTCCTAAAATTGTGTGTGAATTCTACATATACATACAAATATCCATCCATCCATATATGGGTGTGTGGGTGCACATGTACCATCAATACTCCTCTGCCACAAGCTGGCATACTTTCCAAAACATTAGTTTTATCTATGGCAGACATTGTTTCTTACTATCAGAATCGAATAAGGCAACCTATTCATTAGGATTTAACTAGATGAATGCTCAATCTCGGAGGTAAATCATGCTTAATATCAACAAATTACCACCATTTATCCTACTGGTAGCTCAAAATCATACACGTAACAAAGTAAAAAAAAAATGATTGGATTTAAATTAAAAGGATATGACCGGGAACAACAGGCCGGATGTTGACCATGGCATAGGAAAGGTGGGCGGAGTAGAAAACCTCCTTGGGGTCTATCTTGTACGGGCCGAACGTATAGAACTCCGTTGACATCTACAACAACAAATTGGTTGTAAATACCGGTTTTTAATTGTTGGGTGAGCACCGATACAACTAAAAAACTGTTTTGGCACATGCCTTGGCAGAGGGGGCGGCTGAGGCAGCGGCGGGGCGGAGAATGAGGTGGCCTGGAAACCTCTCCTAGAGAAGCTGATAGAGTACCAACGCCCACCCAGACCCAAGCCTATATAGAACACAGCAACCCAAACTTTTTCATTCATTCACTTGGGGCTCTTCCTTTTTTGGTTTTCGTTTCGTCAAATCGTCATGTGCGATATCCTACTAATTTGTTATATTATTAAAGGTAAACTACGAATTTAGTATTTAAATTAATATTTTTTATTCGTTTTAGTATTTAAATTTTTTATTTTTTAAAATTATACTTAATATTTAGTTTTTATTTTATTTTATTATTCTACCGTTAAAAATTTGGCACATTTAGCTATTTAATACTTAATATATTAATTTTAGTTTGTTTTAGCACCTAAAATATAACACCATTAATGATTGGTTGGTTTAATAAGACAAGGACTAAATCCCTTAACAATGTCAAATTGAAAACTTAACATGTGTAAATTGGGTAAATTAGGTTGGGAGATTTATCATCGTATATACAAAAATAGGTAAATTATACATTTAATACTTAAACTATCAATTTTTGTTTGTTTAAATACCTAAATTTTTAATTTTTTTCAAAATCATATATAAAATTTAGTTTTTATTTCATTTTAGTATGTCACTGTTAAAAACTTAACGAGTTTAGTATCAAACTAAAAAATTTGATCCGTTTTAATACTTAGACTTTCAGGGTTTTTTCTTCTTCAAAAATTAACGTTAAATTTTGAACAATTTTATTAAAATGAAACAAAAAAAACTAAGATTTAAGTATGATTTAAAAAAATAAAAGTTTAGGTGCCTAAACTATCAGTTTTGGTTAATTTCAATACCTAAAATTTTATTTTTTTTCAAAATCATATCCAACGTTTAATTTTTGTTTCATTTTAGTACGTCACTGTTAAAAACTTAACGCATTTAGTACCTAAACTATCAGTTTTGATATATTTTAATACCTAAAATTTCCTATTTTTTTCTAAAAATGAACATTAAATTCTGAACAATTATATTAAAATGAAACAAAAACTAAATTTAAATATAATTTAAAAAAATTAGGTAGTAAAACTAATAGTTTATATATAAACTTATAATTTACCAAAAAAAAATATGTGGGTGTTTTTTAGTTGATTGCGTCATCAGTCATTCTGACAAGCGAAGGCACTGCATCTGTTCATATCAACAGACATTAGTCATGTACTCATGTCTTCCCTCGGTTTTTGTTTTCTATTCTAAACACATCACCCTCCTCTTTCAAAATCCGAAGAAACAAGCTCTTCTTCTTCTTTTTCTCGGTAAGTTCTCTTCTTTTTCTTTGCTTATTCAAGGGTTATGGCTTGTTTCTTCAAATAGTTACCTTTAACGAGGGTCTAATTAAGGAAATTTAAAAACTCTGTGAATTTCCTCTTTTTTTAAAGAAAATTTTGGTAATTTTTGGTTTTATCAGTGGTTCTATAGAAAATTTGATGTCAGTAAGGTAAATAAATTTCGGTTAATTTTGCATGGTAATAAAATCCAGTTATTCTTGGTGGGTTTTAGGGTTCATAAATTCCCTTTGAATGTTTTCAAAACGCCGTTTTGTTTCACCATTGCGACTTAAGTTTTCGTCAATCTTCATAGTTAAGGTCGGTTTCTTTTCCTCTCTTTGGATTTGAATTTAATCGGAGTATTGATATTGTCTTCCAAGTGTTTGCTTAAATGCTTGACTGAAACAAAATTTTAAACTCAATCGATTGCTTAGATCGTATATATTCGATGTTGGGTACACAAATCTTCTTTGTTCAGTCATTCACATAGATCACCATCCGATCTTTTAGTTCAAATAGTTTGGCATCTTTGGGGAAATTAAGGAATAAAGAAAAGAGCTCCCTTTAAACTTGTTTGTTGGGTTTATTGTTTGATTTTGTAATATTCGTTTGATTGTTTAGCACATAAAAGTCCACAAGCCATCGATTATGTATCTCATTTCGTCGAACTCAATAGTAACTGTGAATTGCTTCTTTGCCGTTTGTTTTGTCAATATTTCAGGTTTAAAATCCATGGCCTGAGTACACTTGAACAAGTATCTTCCTGTAAAACCCCCACTAATCTGACATTCACCATGTGGAAGTTTGTTTCTAAGGCCTTTACCAGAGCCAGCAGGTCGAAACCAGGTTCGTTGAAACAATCTAAGGTTTATTCCGAATGCTCCGATGATGATTTGTCTTTGAACAACCATGGAGAGGAAAGATTAGAATGCCCGATATGCTGGGAATTCTTCAACGTTGTGGAGAATATACCGTATGTTTTATGGTGTGGCCATACATTATGTAAAAACTGTGTCTTAGGGCTGCAGCGTGCTGCTCTGAAATACCCTACATTACCTATCCATCTTCCATTCTTCGTGGCTTGCCCGTGGTGTAATCAATTCTGTTTGAGAGTGGTCTATAAGGGGAACATCAAGTTTCCGAGCAAGAATTACTTTCTTCTCTGGATGGTTGAGAGCATGAATGGTGATAGGTCGAAGTTGAATTCTCCGATTCATAGGTGTCATCCACCTGCATGCACTATAAATAGAACAAGTGAAGGGGGAAATCAGCGTAGATGTATAAACACTAGGCGAGCTTCATGTGCAATCCACCGTTCGGAAAATTCAACATCCAATCTTAATCAAATCCGCCTAGTCACCAGCTATTTCAGTGCTGGAAGACTCCAATCGTTGCTCCGTAAGTCCTTGGTTTTCCTTCTGCACTTAACAGTTAAGTTCCCTTTGATTGTCATATTTCTTTTAATGGTCTTATATGCCATACCTGCCAGTGCAGCCATTTTCTCCCTGTACATTCTTATCACCGGCCTGTTCGCCGTTCCATCGTTTCTCATTCTGTATTTTGCTTTCCCGAGTTTGGATTGGCTAGTGAGGGAAATCTTCAGTTAAAACTGTCCTTAATATTCCCCTTTCTTTTGTGTGACTCCATGTTAGATACCATGAAAAGCTCTGTTTATGTTTCGAATCAGCCGTGTTCGTTTTGTTATCTTTTTACTGCAATTGATGTTTAGATGGTCATGCAATATTGCAATTGCCTTCCCTCCATCAGTGCTTTGAATAAAAAATCAAATGGCCAGAAGCCAGAGGTTTAATTGTTTTGATCTTACATTTAATCATATTTGATGATTTTATTTTAGCTTAAGGGTCACTTTTGCCCTTATAGTTAGGGATGGGCACGAGACCCGAATCCGATGGGGACTGACCCGATCGGGTTAGATTTTTTTTTTAAAAAAATCGAGTTCAGGTCAGGTTTATTTTTAGAGAATAAATTCGGGTCGGGTTTGGGTTTATGGTAAAAGAATCTGACCATATCTAAAAAATAATATAAAATACCTTATTTATTTATGGATAATTGCAAGAATAGACCTCTTTATATTATTTTTTCAATTAAGTCCCTATTTATTAAATAAAATTAATAATTTTAAATTATTTCGGGTCGGGTCAGAGTCGCTTTTTATCTCAAAAGTTGGCTCGGGTGGAATTACTCTAAACTCGGGTCGGGTCCCAGGTGGAGGTATAAAAATTTCAGGTCAATTTGGGTCGGGTTGGGTCTGCCAAAAATCTGACTCAACTCGACCCATGTTCATCCCTACCTGTAGTAGATCCAATTTATTAATTTCTCTCTTATCGTATTTTCACATAAATTTAACTCTCAAAATTGTTTAATTTCATCCTCATATACCTCAACACTAATTTAGAATCTTAAATTCTAAATCCTAAATCTTACGCCATAATCTCTTAACCTTGAAACTTTCAACCATAAATCTTAAATCATAACTTAAAACCTTAAATAACAATACATATTTTAAATATTGATGCAATTAAGTAACTTCGAGTGTTTTGAAGATTAAATTGATACAAAAATATGATATGAGTGAAAATGATAAATTGAGTTTATTACATAAACATAAATACATGAATGCCTCTTTAAGCCTTTTATTTGTGTGTCAAATAGTGGTGACCAAATTAAATATTAACTTTATTTGAGTTTTTGTATATAGTTTTGAACGTACACCCTTGAGCTCTAATTATTATTTTAGAATGATTGTCCTCTATTAACATGCTAACTTAGGGTCTGTTTGTTTCCCGTAATTGGAATTACGGAATTGGTTTTCCCCGAATTCCCGTGTTTGTTTCACGTAATTCGTTTTCCGGAAAATGTTTTCCCGTGTTTGTTTCACGTAATTCGTTTTCCGGGAAACGTTTTCCCGTGTTTGTTTCACGTAATTCGTTTTCCGGAATGTAATTCATTTTCCTAGTAACAGAATTTCCTTTGTGTTTTCTGTAAAATGACTTACGGATTCATTTTCCGTAAGTCATTTTCCGAACTTTTTACTTCAAAGCAAAAATACTCAAAATAATTTTATTTTATGAATTTAATATTAATAAAATATTTTAATATCATTTTCATCAAAATATTAATTATTAAAATATTTAAAATATATTTATTAATATTTATAATAATATAATATTATATTTTTAATATTATATAAAATAATCAATTATATTATAAATAATATAAGATATTATATTTTTATTTTAATAATATATAATAATTTTTTTTTATATATTTAATAATGAATAATATTATTTATATATTTCAATAATATTTTAGTAAAGATATTAAAATATACTAATTAATATTTTTAAAATATAATATAGTACTATTACTTTCATAAATAATTAATATAATTTATAAAATTTTATTTCACTAAAATATACCGAAAAAATGTTTAAATAACATATTCCAAACATCATAAAACGTTTTCCAGATGTTTTCCAGAAATGTAATTCATTTTCCAGAAATGTAATTCATTTTACAGAAATGTAATTCATTTTCCAGAATTCAAATTCCAGTAATTCATTTTCCAGTAATTCAAATTCCAGTAATTCAAATTCCAGTAATTCATTTTCTGGAAAACCAATTACAGCTAAACAAACAGACCCTTAATTAACTTTATTGGAGTTCATGAGTGGAATTGGCGGAATTTAAAAAATATGAAAATACAAAGTGATTAAACAATATTTAAGTCTCTGAGAATTTTATAATGTTCAATTTTGCATAAATTAACTTATTATTGGATATAAAAATGTTCATGAGAGCAATAGCCCAAAATAGCTTTTCATTACAGATGTTTTAAATAACAATTTGCTAACTAAACTCAACTTATATATTAATTTCTTGGGTAAATTACACGTTTAGTACATAAACTATCAGTTTTGGTCCGTTTTGGACTTTCAATTTTTTCAGAATCATACTTAAAGTTCAATTTCTGTTTCATTTATGTATTCCTATTCAAAATTTAACAATAAGTTTTGGAAAAAAAATAAAAGTTTAGGTATTAAATACTTCAAATTTTTAATAATGAGGTACTAAAATGAAATAAAAATTAAATATTAGGTAAGATTTAAAAAAATTAAAAGTTTAAGTACTAAACAAATTAAAACTCAACGTGTCATTTACCCTGATTTCTTAAAAGCTTTTATTATTGTTTTAATGATTAAAATATATTGTCTTTGTACATTTTGTATATTTAGAATTCAACTCATTTGTTTTGTTTAATCTTAAGAACTTAGTAAGAAAATTCAAATATAAAAATTAAATAAATTTTTTATACCGTGTTAAAATAAAAATTAAGTTTATTATAATATTAATTTTTCATTACATAGTTGTTAAATTAAATTTTTACTTTAACATGTTAAATCAATGGATTTAATAAGATATTAATATCTAGATTTTAAAGGATAAAGTACACAAATGATCCTTTGATTATAGAGTATTATTTTATTATATTCTTTGACTATTAAAAGTTACAAAATGATCCTTTGACCGTAGAATGTTGTTTTGTTGAGTGCCTCAACTATTAAAAGTTACAAAATGACCATATGACTATTCATTATGTTCCAAACTGGTCTTTTTTTGTTAAAAAATTGACGGTCGTCTAAATTGGGCGTTAACATTATGACTAGGGTTTGATAGTCATTTGAGATTTTGTGATCAGATTTTATCATATGACAGTTATCATGTTAACGATTAACTTAGAATATTATTAATTTTTTAACGAAAAATATAAGTTTAAAACATAATGAATAGTGTGGTGACCCTTCTATAACTTATAGTAGTCAAGGGGTTAAACAAAGCAATATTCTATATTCAAATGATTATTTTGTGATTTTTAATAATCGAATGACTTAATAAAATAATACTCTACGGTCGGGGAACTGTTTGTGTACCATAACTTATAATAGTCGAAGGGCTCAACAAAACAATAATCTATTGTTGAAAGATTATTTTATAACTTTTAATAGTCGAAGGACTTAGTAAAGTAATACTCTATAGCTGGGATCATTTGTGTACTTTACCCAATTTTAAATATACTAAGAGTATGAGATGGTATAACATATTTTAATATTTTGCAATACATACACGAATATTATTATTAAATAAAGTAACAACAGTTTGGATAATAAAATGGGTCCCCTCCTAATATTTTATTTAATTGAAAAAAAAGTAATAAATATTAATTAATTAATTCAATTACAGTAAGACTAGATTAGAGAAATAATGGGGAGTTTTGTTTATTGTTCGCCGACGGCTAGGGTTTAAACGCACGGTTAGGAATGTTGCCACGTAATGACGGTGACATAGCACATCGGCGGTACACGTGGCATGGTACCGGGATTTCTTGATAGCGTAGAAAAATTGAAAGGGGCATCACAAGGAGACAAAAGGTAGAGAAAGGTATCCACTGTCACAAGAAAAAACGAGCTTCTGTTTTATTTATTTATTTATTTATATTTAATTAATTAATTTTTTTATTGCTCAAGGGGTCTTCATAAAATGACATCCTCGTGCATTGAACCCCCTTTTGTTCACCACTCGAAACTCGCAAGTGGACTACAGGCCATGAATATGTGTGACTAAACGTCTAATTACGCCTCCAGTCCCTTCTATTCTTAAAATTTTAACATTTAACCCTGGCTTTAAAAAATTAAATTATAATCAATAAAACTATCTATTGACTTCTGTCTAATTTGAATAACGTATTTGTAACTAGGGTTTCAATTCCAGATTAAGCATTTAAATATTAATATCCGGCATACTAATGATATACATTAGACTTTAATTCTAAAATAAAACATATAAATAATGGAGTAAATGTACATATCGTTTGGTAGTGACCTTGAATGCTAGCATCTCGTAAACTGACCATCTCATTCCCTACCGAGTAATCAAAATTTAACTGCACGATTGCCGTTTCTTTAGATGCGTTGGAAGAGAAGCATTAGAACCGCTATACTAGGTCAAGACAGAACTGACCCCATCTCTGGTTAGGGGAGTTGAACCATGGCTTGTCATCCATGAACAGTTCGTATGATATTATTTATGTTTGTTTTTAACCAAAATGAACGAATATTAAAAAAATATGGTTATTTAATAAATGAAAAAACAGGATCAGACCAGTTTGTTGACGTTCACAAATAAGTTTGTTTATCGACTCATTCGTTTAATGACTTGTTTTTATAAACTCAATTAGAAGCGCATTTTGTTGTACATTTTACATATCGGTGGATATATGGACTAAATTGAACATATTATGAAATTTGGAATTTAAACACCAGTGACATAATTTTATCATTTTTAGCTTGCAAATGAACATATTCGTGAATGTTAAACAAATATATTCACAAACGCTAAACAAAGGGACATGAATAACTTTAAAATATGAACAAACGAGTACGAACATAAACAATGGTATAACCTTATTCGTTTAAGTTTGATCTTTTTCACCCAACATGTAAAATAATTAGAATTTTCGAATTATAAAAGAGGAGGATTAAATTTTAAGATTATTAGGATTATAAGGACCAGGGCAGGGTTGAACCAATATCAAATAGATTGGAAAGCCAAAATGATTTCTCCAACTGCCATGTCATTAATTGTGTGCAAAAACACCCGTGTCGTATTATCTTGTATTTTTTACTCTTTTTAATCTACAGATATTTTGTTTATCAAAATGGGAAAAAGCAGCCAATTACAAGATCCGAGGCAACTACTAAGAGGGAAA